GGGCGACTCCAACCTCCCACTCGACGGCACGAGGGCGGGCCAACGGCGCGCGTCTCAATATCCCAAGGCAGGAAAATTCATTAACACCGAATATTTTCTATCGTACTACTACGACCCTGGGCTACAAGTGTGGCAATTGTACTGCCACTGGCAAGTTTGGAATCAAATTCGAAAGTCGGATTTTGCTCGAAATCCAAGTTGTATAGGCAAAAACTGACTAAAAATTCAGTATCTCAGCAACAAAGCACCATGGGAATGAACCGAGTTGGGGTATTTCACTACTCTTTAGGGCCTTTCTAACAAAAATAGTCCCAACCCGAAATCAGTTTATAATCTCGGATGGTTCTCTCGTGAGCATCTGTTAGGTTTAAAGTATCTTTTTCAACTATGATAGTGATTAAAACTGTATATCTGTCCTCGGCATATTTGCCGAATAACTTTTTTGACTTGCAGAGTCGAGATTCGATCTTTTTTCAGAAGTTCTCATTCAATTCTCTACAAAATCGTAGATAATCTCTCTTGATAAAATGTAGAGAAAAAATATTAAATGTAAAATTGTACAAAGCTTTGAACGAGATAACGTTCAAGCATGCTTTTTCAAAACGATTTCGCTTCCTTTTTAAAATAATTGTACAAGTGTTAAATAGCGCTAAAGAAAGTTTTTGTTTACATTCGACAGCGCTCGTTTTCCTCATGTAATACAGGTCGACAAATTTGGTCGTTTGTGCTCACTATGTACGAGAAAAAAAAATCAACTTATTCAAACTTATGTAGTAGAATATCAAGACTCTATTATTTTCGTTCAAAATAAAAAACAAAACTAAGACCAAAAATATTATCTTTTGGTAAAGTTATACAAATTTTATCGAATGACTCGAAAAGATCGATCGAGAATACTTTTTCTTTCAAAAAAAAATGTGAAACATAACGTGACAAACGTTAATGTGAGAAATTTAACAATTGCTTGAAGATAGAGATATTCAAAGACAACCAAATGTTTATTTAATTTATTTACATTTATCCGTCATTAAAATCTAAAAAATACTATTTTACTTTTGAAAGTTATTCCTACAAAAAAATATTTTATCGACACTGGTTGGTTGTGCACGGATGCACACCGGTACCAGAAAAAATGTAAAAATCTCGCACCGGTGCCAAAGTTCATCATTTTGGTTTGTGAATTTCTGTCTATTTTAACATCCCAGTCTACTTCTAATATTTCGAATGTCTTTCTGACTTCATATTTTCCTTCGTATTAGAGAAGTGCCGAGACAATGCCACACGGTTTTAGCATGTCAATGTGGTACTGATCAGCGCCGCACTCTAATACAAAATTCAGTAATATAATAAAAAAACTAATTAAACTGATTAAATAAATTTCAGTGCAACACTGATTTTTACCAGTGTCTCATTGGAGTTTTTTTTTGTAGAGTATCTCTCTCAAAGCTTTGTACAATTTTACATTTAATGTTTTCTCTCTTACATTTTACCAAGAGATACTTTTGATAAACTAGACAAAAAATTATTCAAGAAACACGTCGAGACTCATTTATTTTTGAGCAATTGTTACATTCGTGTTCAGATTGATTTATATTCTTCAATACATCTTTAGTCTCTTAAATAATCTTTCTACATGAGGTAATGACAAATCATCGAAAGGTTTTTCATCGAACGACATTTCATTGCATTGATGTACTATTGAATTTTCCTAGATAACTGAACGACAATCACAAAGTAAATAAAAGTACACTGATTGTAAGTAGTTTGAGTTGAAGAAAGATTTAGAAAATGTAAGTTAATTCGAAATAAAAATGTCGAAAGCTCGCTGTTTGTATGTAAAATGATTTTATTTAAATTCTTTTCTATAATTTTGAATATACTAAATTTCATTATAAGTATGGCCCGTTTTTTAATCAACTACTAAACGCAAAACGTTTACTGCGTTTCAATGATTATGAATATGTAACTGAAATAAACAATGTAACATATCGAAGAATTAATTTACATTTTCTAAACCTTCCTTCAACTCAAGCTACTTACAATCAATATTATTTATTTAGTTTGTGATTGTCGTTCAGTTATCTAGAAAAATTCAATAGTACATCAATGCGACGCAATATTGTTTGATGAAAAAACTTTCGATGATTTGTCGTTGATTCTTCTCTATTTTCACAACTAATTGTAATAATTATCCAACATATTTTCAAAAATTTAACGATAAAAACATTTAAATTTTAGTTTTGATGAACAACGTTTACAACCTCAATCTCAATTTAATTATACTCAAAATAAACGACAACAACGTCATCCATATATATCGAATTATGGTAAGTATCCATCGTCAACATCACAAAATACAAATAAATTCATGTATTCGAATGGAAAAAAATTTCGAAAACATCAATCATCACCCATGTGTAGTGGAAATAATAAACGAAATGATTTTTATCATTCTACTCGTGCAATTCCGTCAGATAGAAACAACACTAATATTAATGATAATGAACAAAATACAATAAAAAATGAGGAAAAAATAAAACAGATAAATGGTAAGTTTCTTTTGATTTATAGCAAATTTTGGGGGTTGTTTTGTTTTTTCGGAAAATATCTATCTATCTGTTATTTTAGCTAAATCAGAACCATTGTTATTACAATTTCCATCATGTGAAAATAATAATCATCAATTCATAAAAAGAGAATCTGAACAAACGATAATTCAAGATGTAAGTAAAATAATTTATTTTTATTTATTTTAAATTATGTATTAATAAATTCTTTTGTACTAGTTATTTCGTGATCTACAGTTTTTTGTGCTTGTAGATTGATCGCTAGCACAAAAATTCTACAAACTGTTACGTAGGAAGTAATTTTTAAAATTGAGTCATACTGCTGGGGATAAAAACTAACTGGAGACGGAAGCAAGCATGTTTTATAATGTCAGTCATTTTCTTTTCTAACTCACAACAGTCTTTGTTTAGAATCGAAAAAATATTCGTTCTCTAACTAAATTGCTAAACAAATAAATTGAATAAATTTTTTTACTTTATCGAAACAATGAACATTGACAAAGCATTAAGTATTGTACTATTTTAAAAATCAAAAAGAAAATAGAATAATCGAGAGTAGAATACAAAAAACACAACATTTAAACGATGGTTACGCTGTATGTTATAGAGGCTTGTTAAAATATCATTTATAATTACCTGTATGAAGGATATTCAGGTAATATTCTACTGGATAAATTTTTAACAAATGAAATGACATTATTACATACTCAACAAAATATCACGGCAAATATGTAAAAAGTGTGGCGTCATCATTTTGAAATTCCATAAGGTGATGATGTCATAGTCAAAATTTGAGGATAAAGTGGTTGAGTGAATGGAAAAAAGGTCAAGACGTTTCAAATGATCGAGAATTGGTGACCAATACACACTTTTTCTGTATGCACTATTCTACAAAATCTTTGTTTTTTTATCTTACATAGAAAATAAACATCGCTTAAAACCACTAGAAAACATAATAGCAGAAGATTTTCTCGCATAAACAGAAAACTTTGTTAATTAACATGGCACGAATTTTTTTAGGCTTAAAATAGACAAATATTTTACAGTTTGATGAAACAAAATCTTGTTGTTTGTACGTTGAAACGCTGAGCTCCCAAAACTGTAGGAAATGTTAAGACTCGACCATGAAAAAACTAAGGAGATTTTCTATGGTGACTAGAATAATGGGAAATAAAAGATGAGACATAAAAGTATCCTATTCGAAAGACGTATACGAAAATTTGAATGAATTCACTATGAAACAAAGCATGAAATTATTGAAAAATAATTTATAAATGAAAGAAAACATCTTATTTTCTAAAAGTTGAAAATCAAACTAAATATTGTATTCTATTTATGATAGCGCAATGAAAAAAATAGTAAATGTGGCAAAGATTTATTGGAAACCGAATTAAATCGTCAAAAGGCAAAATTAATTTCTATTGAAGAAAAAAAGAAACAATTACAACAACAGCCATCATCAACGTTAAATAAGAAAAAAATTTTAACTAAAAAATCGTCAATTATTCCTGGAATTGATGAAGTGGGTGGAAAACGTATAAATATTAGTAATGAACGTACAACTAGACTATCGACATCAATACCGTTAGTAAAATCCATTAATAGTGACAATAAATTAATGACTCGTCAAAAACATCAACAGCAAAACTCACTGGCTTCCGATACGACAACAAGTAAGAAATAATACACTCTTTTTTTTGTTTATTCTCTATATTATTCATATTTTAAATTATATTTTAGCTTCGTCAACAGTCAAGTCACTCAAATCAACAACGACGTCTCAGTCGACAATGTCAGCAAAAAATGTTCAATCATCTTCAACATCCAATATTAGAAAACGTCCATTATCCTCTACTCAATCAATATCTACATTGACTACTGATCGTAAAAAAGCTTTATTACAAGCTCGTATATCTGTTAAACAGTCACCACAACAAGGTTTATTACTTTGTCCAAGATCACAACAAGATACAAATGAAAATGAATTGCCCAAAGAGAAAGAAGTTATTAAACAACAAAAATCAAATATAAATTTAAAAGTAGAAACAAAGAGAAAAATAAAAAAACTAATTGATAATGAACAGTTTGATAATGAAAAACAAACTGAAATAGACAATGATACATTAAGGTGAGAATTTAGTATTAATGTTTTTCTTTTCTCTATGAAAATATTCCTGACTAATTTAAATTATCATTTTTCATCTAGATCATCAGATACACTGTTAATAAATTCATCCGTTACATCGACTAATATTGATTCACTCGATGAAATTCCTCCATTATCGTCTACCATTCTGATTGAAGAGAACAATATCAGTGAATCTTGTACCACTGATTTAATTTTAGATCCAATTTTATATCAAGAAATGAAAGCAACACAAAAACAATGGCAACAATATATGATGCAAACTATGGAACATGAACTTCATTTATTCAATTCAACAAAAACATCATCATCATCATCTCTATCTTCTACTAAACATCGACGAAAAATCATTGCTACAACAAATGATTCATTATATCAACAATCACGAACAAAAGAATTTTATGATCAATATGAACAATTATATTCATTTTCAGGTTTTGAACATTGGCATCCTAATTTTCAATATCAACAAACAATTGCAGACATTTCACAATTTGATTAGTTTATTTATTTATTTATTTATTTATTTATTTGGCTTTTATTTTCATTAGTATTAAATCCATATTTGGATATGAACAATCATCATATATGAATCTCATTTCTTTATTCTTCATTATTTAGCTAAATTAGCTAAATTTTTACTTAAATACTTAGAGAGAAATTTAGGCACTCTATTTGTTCAACATTAAAATGTTTAAAATAAAAATTTTCTAAATAAATTTTGTCTTTAAGTTTAACATTATTACTTTTTCCCTTATTTGATGAGATTCATATTCGAACAGTGTCACAGTCTTTCATTTATAGAAAATCCGTTCTGTTGGCCTTATTCTCTATGTTTTCTTTGTTTTTTTTTTCATGTGAAAAAAAAAGAATCTCCTATATTGTGGTTTTTTTTCTGTAATTTTAAACAAAACATATACATGTGTATATATATATATATATATTGTAAATAAGAAAACTGTGTGGCTAAAAAGCAACTTATTGTTTTTTGTATACATTTAACTCGCATTTTTCTTTTTTTTTGTTTTGTTTTGTTTTTTGTTCTTTCATCGGATCATTGCTGATGAATAACTATGAGAAATATAGTAAAATATACATTGTATAAAACACTTTTTATACTTTTAATTTGAATTGATTCAGATCGTGTGTGATATAAAACTTGAAGACATTGATTAATTCTTCTTATTTTTATTACACAGATTAATTTTGATATTATTTTAAGTAGAAAATATTCTTTCGCTTTCAATCATTTTGTTTTTGCTATTTGTTGAGAGGCAAAGGTGTATAAGGAAACAATAGAGAAACAAGTCAAAGACCAGAAGATATATTTTAAAATTTTTATGTTAGAATGAATAATTTTTCTTTCAAACGAATGATAGGCTCAAAATGAAGAACTTAAACTTGATTTGGCATGGATACAAACTTTGTGCTATCTAGTTCTATCTGTTATGATGTTTATCGATATGTAAATTCTTATTGGAAATCTATTGATAGATGAAAATGTGATAAGTTTATAGATATCTTGTTTTCAGATTGTTTGTAACAATAATATTTATGATTGGATTATTCAAATCTGAATTATTTTCTTCTCAGATTGTATGACTCTTTATCACGTACACATTAAAACTTTCAGTATGAACAAGGAGGGTAAACAGACTATTCCATAGTGAAATTTTGAAGTTTAGTAAGATGTTCAGTATTTTATAGCCAATTAAGAGCAGTTTTATGTTATACGTCTTGAATTAAAATACATCTGTACCAACTATTGCACAGTGGACATCTAGGTCAGACATAGGCAACTCCAACTCCGGAGTTGAGCTTCTTTTTAGTGGAGTTGGAGTTGAGTTGAAGTTTCGTTTTTATTAGATTAGAGTTGAGTTGAGTTCAGATTTTTTCAACTCCAGTTGAAAATTTTTTTGTTTTTGACAATACAAAATTCTATTTAAGACGAGATAATTAGTTTTCTAAAAGAAGAAAGTAAAAATAGTTCACTTATTTTTCAAAATAAGACAGTATATCCGATTTTAAGTAAATTAGCTCAAAAATTGTTATGCGTACCTGTCACGTCGGCACCAGTAGAGAGAGTATTTTCACAGAGTAGTTTTCTTTTCCAATCTCATCGATGTAGAATGACAAAAAGTACGCTTTCAAAATTAACATTATTGAAATGCAATTTTGAATTCTTAAAATGACTATTTTTGTGTGTACTCTTGTAAACAAAAGCGAAATAAACAACTAATAATAAAATAAAGAAGAAAATGAATAAAGACAAAATAAGTTCCTATTGGAGTTGAAACGGAGTTGGAGTTGAACTTAGCCGGAGTTGCCTATCTCTGATCTAGGTGGACATTTGGTGAAAAATTGAAAGTGAGCTTTTTCAAGATTTAAATAGTGTCACATATACTTCGATCTACAGACTATCGAATGGTGTAAAATTTTTTGTTTCAAGTGTTCAGGTTTAGAAAAAATATGTGAGCAAAATATAGCCTAAAAAGTTTGTCAGCGTTGTTTCTACGAAACAAAAATGTGAAAACTTCCTAGTGAACTGTCGGACTATAATATAGAATATGTGTAAATGGAAGGAAGTTAAATAAGAATAGCGGAGAGAAATTTCTATTTAATCGGTTTTTTTTCTGATCATATGGAGAGATATAGTAATAACTTTTAAAACTTGTGTCTAACAATATCAGATCAATGATGCACTGAATAGTCCATTCAGTAGCTGCAAACACCAAATTTATATTGAAATTTGATCAATCACAATTTCATCCCAAAAGTTTACAGCTACTGAAATGGTGTTTACAGCTATTGACAAAACTCCTCTGGAAACTACAAAAATCTTCGTATATAAACTTTATACTTCAAACTTCGTTTTCCTTCGGAAGACGAACAAGTCCTAAGAAGTTCTCACAATACTAGCGATCCCGGAGAAAAAACATTATTTTTTTTTTGACTTTGTTTTAAGGTGAATTATATTTGTAAACAGTACCTATTTCGAATCTAGACACGCTCAGTTATCTATTAATGAAAACAATTTTTTTACTTTGCTCCTAGAATCTCGAAGAAAAAAAATTCATTTCCGAATTCATCCTCGTTCCATATAGACGCTTAGAACGTAATGAGATCGCGTAAGTCAGAACTGCTTCAAAATTATACCAAAATGTCCGTCGCTTTAATTATGAAGACGATTGTTCTAATGGACATGGATAGAGATTTTCCAGTAAATTTAGAATTTTAAAGTAAAATCTATTTTTCTCAACTTAAAAATACTTTTATTCAAAAAACTAATGATATATTTGAAATCAACGTATGAAATTGCGTATAATCTGTAACTTTTACAAATAAAAATATGTTTTCTTTTTTGAAAAAAAAAGTTAGAGCAACTAACCTTTCAGCCATTTTTCATCAAAAAAAATTTCTTTTCTTCTTTGACTTTTTTAAATTAAATTAACATGGAAGATATAATTGAGCACTATTATGTGAAAATAATTATTTTATAACTAAAAAAAAAA